TTACTGCTTTCCGTTAATCCTATTCTGATCCATAGCCTGTCATTGCTGCTACAGTCATTGATACCTTACCCGCAATCCTAAATGCTTAGTATAGGATGCTAGTGTCCATCAGTGACCCTACACTCTTGTCCGTCTGCCATGCTATACTACTGGGCTGTGATCACTTCGGGAGGTGATCACGGGCATATACTATATACTTTACACTGTTACATTACCTGTGATACTGTTCGGAGTTGGGGGTTGAAGGGGCAGGTGGCTCCATCCCGGTAGAGGTGGGCCTGGGTTCCCGACGGCCCCCGACTGTTACTTTGTGGCGGAGCGGCAGGGCAGGTTGAGACCGCCTAGGAGAGAGGTGGGCCTGGCCCTGTTCGGCATTCGTGGATACTTAACACGCTTAACGAGATCTTGGTATTTGATCTGAGTCTGGCTACTGGCCTATACGCACTAACCATCTACGCGGGAGTAGTTATGGGTATCCCGGCGTCGTGGTATCAGCCGAAGCCTTCTTGACGTCAGCGACTGAGTGGCGCGCGCCGGGTTGGACTGCGTTAACGCAACTTCCTTTGTAATGGAGGTTGCTAGGTCTGCTCACCGGCCGCGTACGCAACGTGCAGGTGTGCAATGGGCGATGGGCCCAGACCCCTGCGCGCATAGGATTTAGACCGGCGTGCTGACCTCTCTGTTGTGCCTAGGTGGGGCTGCGACGTGTTGATCTTCCGAGGCCGGGCATGACCCAGGAAAGTGTGTCCGGCCAAATGAGATCAAGCGTGTTGGGTTATGTGGTGCACCCCTGCAGGGAAGTTAATCTATTCGAATAGCCGTGATCTTCGGTAACAGGACGACTTGGAGTTGTACCTTGACCTTATGACAACTAGAACCGGATACTTAATAAAACACACCCTTCCAAGTTCCACAGACAACCCGGTGATCGCTTTTCTACAGGGCGACGAGGAGAGGATCGCCGGGTAGGATTATGCTATGCGATGCTACCTGGAGATGCGCTTTGAGATGCTACCTGGATATGCTACTTGGAGATGCTACTTGGAGGACTTCAATCTACTCTCTTCTACATGCTGCAAGACGGAGGCTGCCAGAAGCGTAGTCTTCGACAGGATTAGCTATCCCCCTCTTATTCTGGCATTCTGCAGTTCAGTCCACTGATATGGCCTCCTTAAACATATACCCATGCATATGTAGTGTAGTTCCTTGCTTGCGAGTACTTTGGATGAGTACTCACGGTTGCTTTCTCCCCCCTTTTCCCCCTTCCTTTCGTCCAGGAGCCAGGCGCCACCGTCGACGACGACCCCTACTACACCGGAGGTGCCTACTACTACGTGCAGCCCGCTGACGACGACCAGGAGTAGTTTAGGAGGATCCCAGGCAGGAGGCCTGCGCCTCTTTCGATCTGTATCCCAGTTTGTGCTAGCCTTCTTAAGGCAAACTTGTTTAACTTATGTCTGTACTCAGATATTGTTGCTTCTGCTGACTCGTCTATGATCGAGCACTTGTATTCGAGCCCTCGAGGCCCCTGGCTTGTATTATGATGCTTGTATGACTTATTTTATTTGTAGAGTTGTGTTGTGATATCTTCCCGTGAGTCCCTGATCTTGATCGTACACATTTGCGTGCATGATTAGTGTACGATTGAATCGGGGGCGTCACAGCCAGCCCCGCCAAAATAGGATCGCCAAAAAATTGGCAAAGGTTTTCGCCGCCCCGATCTCGCCAACGCGTGGGTGGAAAATCTGAACGGGCCGACCGAAAAATTGTCGTGGTTGCGATTCATCGGCGCCGATCCACACGAAGGCCGCGGTAGCAGTCAATGACTGAAAATTTGGCAAGGCAAGCGGCGGCTGCAATCCAAATAGGATTGAAAACCCATGTTCTTGCATGCTCGCTTGTTGAAGGTGTTGATTCAGAGATCAACTTCGGGGGCAATAGCCATTGGTCTGGTATCCAGTTGGACCAGCCGAAATCACCGCTTAGGCGATTCCTTATATAAGGTGTTGTCTTGTAGTGTGATTCCTTATTGAAGGTGTTGCCTTGCAGCGTTGCACCCACTGTCAGCTACTTGTTTAGTCTCCTTTTTGAAACAAAAGAACCCTGCAAATGTAACCCCGATTCTGTCGTAATCCCTTCTGATATTTTTTTTAGACAAAAAATCCCTTCTAGTGTTGGTCAGCACAACTGTCATCTATATTAATACATGACGTGACACTGAGAAGAGTTCAACACTTCCACATTGATCTCTATCTTCCTACAGACTACATACAAATTTAGGGTGGGTTTGGACTTAGAGCATCTACAATCAGAGTTGCCAAATCCAGACCTCTATACATGCGCGAATGCGCCCGAACGCGCCTGCGAACAGCGCCCAGTCGGCAGTCAAATGACCTCATTTGCAACCATAACCCCTACTTTCAAAACATCGAATACATGCAAACACATGCACATTGATCATCGCGGTCAAACAATGGGTAGTGCACACAAAAACAGATTATTCGTGCTTAAAAATACCAATCGAAACATAGTCCGAACACAAAAAATGTTCATAATGCATACTTGAAACTAAAAAAGAAAAGTTCAGTGATATCCAAATGTGGATCCACATATACTCCACAAGATCATTGAGAAGTTGCATATGCGCATGTTGATCTTGAAGTTTTCGATGTCTCTCTAAAAGGTTGGCAATGTACTCCGGTGTACTTGAACATCGGGCTTCTCAAAATCATGTGTGTCAGATTGCCTCTTCACCCTCATCCTTGACAATCATGTTGTGCAAGATTATGCAACATGTCATGAGCTGCCAAAGTGTCTCCGGTTTCCAAATCACTGCAACTCCATGTACAATACCCCAACGGGCTTGGAGTACTCTGAATGCCCTCTCCACGCCCTTCCTAGCACCTTCTTGTGCATGTGCAAATAGACATTATTTATTACCATGAGGATCTGATATCGTCTTCACGAAAGCCGCCCATTGAGGATAGAATGTCATCGGTAAGGTAGTACCCCATGTTGTAGTTGTAGTCATTGACGGTGTAGTTGCACGGCCGAGGTCCCCCATCACAAAGCCTCTTGAACAAAGGAGATCGTTGGAGCACATTGATGTCATTGTTAGAACCAGGCGTGCCAAAAAAAGTATGCCAAATCCATAGGTCCTTTGATGCCACTGCTTCAAGTATGATGATGGCTTATTTGACATGACCTTGGTACTTCCCACACAAGGCAGTTCTTCCATTGTCCGTGCATGCAATCAACTAAACCGAGTATACATGAGAATCCTCTTAATGCTCCAATTGCCTTTTCTATGTACTTCATAGTTGCCTCTCTCGGGTACTCTGCTCCAAGCATCTTCACCATAGTGTGTGCAAATTGCACTGTGGTGATCAAGACCATGGTCTCTCCCATCCGGATATCAATATCAGTGGCATGTGTAGCCTTACCATAATCAAGCATCCTAAGAGCAGCCGTGCGTTTCTGCAGAGGGGGGAAATAAAGTTTTTCGTAATAATCCTTCCCTGGCTTGAAGTCATCATCAGGCTTCTCCACAACAGTCACGATGCGCAAGAACAAATCTCTGCTCATCCGAAAGCGACATTGAAAGAAACCTTCATGGTATGTTGGCTCCATTGTGAAGTAGTCTGTGTACAGAAGTCTTGCGCTAGCAATCCTATCCCGGTGAATAACTCTTCGGCCCTTCATGGAACCCTTGAAGTTCAGTACGTGCTCCTCTGCCTTCTTCATTTCCTCTTGGATGCCCGTCACCATTATCATTTCAGCATCTTCGTCGTTCGATCCCGACGAATCGTTGAACTCATTGAATATGATTTTGTCAAGGTCTGTGTTTCAATAGCTTTCATTCGACGAATTCATCGGTGACATACAAATGACCAAAAGAATGAAAAAACTACTCGAACATTTCATCGAACACATAGACTGCAAGGTGTATATCCGAAGGAGTTAGACGTACCGGGGCGGCGGTCGTTGGCAGGACGGCCGGCGGCATTGTGGGTTGGGACATCCCATGACGAAGGTATGATGGCGACGGACCAACAACGACGGCGAAACAACAATGGCGATTGTGCAGACGAGAAAGAGAAGACAAGAGAAACATGCAGGTTAGGCAAGGAGGGGTTTCTTCAAGCAAATTGGAGTGGGCCTTGCGGCGGTCATGTCCAGCATCCCCATATCCGCCCTACGTATGAACTGGGTATGGGGATTGCTGGTCAGCCCGGACGTTTGGGTTAGATTTGCCCCAGTGTGGACGTTTGGGAAGGATATGGGGATGCTCTCATTATGCCCCACAATTCAAGAAGAAAAAGACTTGTACATCCCGTGCTGTCAAACACGCCAGACAATATTCAGAAAACCACGCTGGGTGTTCAGCGAGCTACCTGATGCCATAACAAATTAAAATGGTGGAGCCTACTTATTTCAAGAACAAATCACTGACAGAAACATGTGGGACAGAAGAGTGCACCTTTTACACGACAGAAACATTCTTGATACTTTTTCCACGAGTCAATATGACAGCTTATACAGAGTACAGTAAGGCTACAACGAGAGAATTCTCAGGCGAAGATATCAGCACATATGATTGCTACGGCAAGGGCGGTGATAAATTACAGTTCGGATGTCATCCGTTAAGGGAAAAAAAGGAGGGAAAACTTCTTTTCCGGGTGAGAAATAACACCAAACACTGACACCGACCATGCCCAGTGCAGGCAGATTCTAATCTTTTAACTCTATCTTTCGGTAAGATAACCGAGGCAGGTAGCCCAGTACCATAGTTGCATAATACACAGGGAACCAACTACTATTGCAACATACAGCCGCGAGCTCAGATGCTTGCCATCGCCTATGATTCCTTTCCATGGCACCCTTGGTGCGAAAGCACCAATGCTTGGACACAAGAGAGCAAGCAATTGACGCTCCATAAGCAATGAGCCCAGTGAGGGCAGCTGCATCAACATCATATTGAACTTGTATTTCCAATCAATCTATTGAGAGGGTTTCCAGTCATACTGAAGATTATTGAAGCTATTTGCAGCTCTAAGTCCACCCAACAGCTGATTTCCTATGTCATGCTGTTGCTGATGCTGCTGGTGCTGGTGCTGGTTCTGCTGCTGCTGCTGCTGGCCCAACTGTGATAGGTCATGTGCACTGTGATGCATCCCCATCCCCATCCTGCCATTCATTGCCATCCCACTGTTTGCCATTGCATTGTTTGCCATTGCCATTCTCAGTCCACTAGCTGCACTATTTGAACCAAATCCACCCATGGCCCCAAATCCCATTCCTCCCACTCCTGAGTGATTTGTGACCGCATTACCAACTAAGCAGTTAACCCCATTAATACCAGGGGCAAGTCCGTTTGGTCTCTTCATGTCATTTGCTCCATGGCCAACACCATTCATTTGTGATGACATCATCTCTTGCAAGATTCTCTGAACCGAGCTTTGGGAATCACTTGGCTCAGGTTCCTGAGCCCGAGTTGCAGGTGGCTGCATTGGAGGCAAGTTTGATGATGATACTGCTGGGGAACTGAGTTGGTTTGTGTTCTGAGGGGCGGGCATCATGTTATTATTGGATGATGTGGGCACCTGGGAAGAGAAAGAGGGAGACGGATTTGACTGCAATGAACTTGTAGAGTTCACCTTGGGAATTACGCCATCATCTCCACTGTTATACAGACCATTTACAGTGCCCATTGGATGATCTTGTCTAGAATTCACTGAACCTTGGAGGAGCCCAACAACAGATGGCGAGGGTGCAGATGTAGAGGGTGCACACGTCAAAGAATTATTTGATGTCACGTCTGCATTGGCAGAGGCAGAAGCCTGCACACCAGCCATAGGAGCAGAATTTTGGCCACTCTGGTTTGAACTCTGGGGAACAGATTGCTGCTCTTCAGGCTGTTGCTGCTGTGGTTGAAGAGGGTTAATACCTGATGAACTCCTCCGAGGAAAGTTATGAAGGCTATCTGAAATAGAAATAACAGCAAGTGTTACATGTGGACAAACACACATAAATTAGCAAATAGAAGGCCATAATACGACGAGAAATCACAGGCTGCTGAATGGCATACCAACATGCTACTGTGTTTTGTGTGACTAGGTACTAAATCAGCAGGAACCAGGCACAGGCAACTCAGTTCCCCAGCCATTCCCATGAGGATCAGGGGCAGGCACCAACGGTCTAGGAGTACTTAGAAGTTGTTTCCTACCGGAGATGCAATGTTAACTATATAGTTTATGGTAATCAGGTGATTACAGTTTCCTTCCTACGGAAGTGGTTGGAAAACTTGAAATCACCGGCCACGTCATGCCTTGCAAAGAGCATCCATGGGACCTGCATGGGAGGTGTTTGGTTGGTGACCTGGATAGCCTGGCTCAGGTGCTTGAGGAGTTTGAGCACCTTGAGTGCGGCAGCTGCAGCCTGGGAGCTAATACTGACCTAACAAAGGCAGATGGGAGAGATGAGCAATGGCAGCAAGCTGTGTGCCGCCACCACATCAAAGCTCTGTCATTGTCGGGCCTGCCTTTGCCGCATACGAGCTCCAGCACTCATCAAGAGGCTGCGATGAGAGACCATCCGGCTATCAAGAGGCTGGCCCACCACTGATGCCTATCACTGCAGATTTGGGATTTCTTCATGCCGCATGTTGATGTAGTTGGGGATATTTTATTCGTTATGCTCAGCGAGTTATGGGTCAATAGGATGTTTATGAGCCATTAGAGTTGGTATTGTGGATTAATTGGGCAGATTAAAGGGTCCAAAGGCAGGGGATAGAGCACTCGATCTCTCTCGTCCCTGACATGGAAGAGAGGCTCCGAGTCTTGAGAAGTTTTGCTATCTTACTGATTGATCCAACATTCACAATGCCAGCTCGCTTTGTCAGACAGCCTACTGTACTAGACTCCTTGATCAACCAAACTGGACTTTAACTCAAAACTGGATGCATGCGGATAGACTAACCAACTCGAACTCTTATCTGTATATAATATATATCTAGCATGGTGGTCCCTATGAATTAGGTGGACCTGCTAGTACCCTACAAGACTCTTAACTTCCTAACATCTCAACTCCTAATGACTGTCCTATACATTCCTTAATTGCTTGGTTTTGTGCAGCTGGCTTACCAACCACAATTCTTCTGCACATATAATGATGTGATCAGCATAAAGCCCGCCATGTTTGTTACCGCTCAGTACTCTTTCATGCCCAGGTCACCAAAACAAACACTTATACCCCAGGCTAATCCAGTTAATGGGTCAAGGCAAAATAATCAACATCACAGGCTGAAGCCAGGCACCACTCTTTCCCAGGCATACCAATGTAGCCTTTTATAGTGATGGATGGAATAACGGCAGCTTGAAACGATAGTTACAGTGATTTCTCACCAAAACCGAATGCTCACCTACCTTATAACTACCCTAAGGTACTCCCTCCGCATTTTTGACACTAGATTTTTGACACTAGTGTCAAAAATGATCTCGCATTTTGAGACGGAGGGAGTATTTAAGAGGCATGCCTACACGTGTAGAAAATGTACCGCAAGGAAACTTGACTAAATAAATAATGGTAATTAAAAATAGAGCCCAAATAACACTAATTCAGGTGTTGTGAGTGCAGAGTGGTATGCGGGAGTTTGCGCCATCCTGATGATATGAGATGAGATAAATCAACAAACTAAAATGATTAAGATGTCATACTGATTGGTCCAGATCCAGTCTGCCTGCTATAGTCAATCAGATCTTTCATGCAGTTTACCACCTCCGCAATCTGAGAGTATCAACATTTTGCATGAAAACAATAGGAGCTTATGGTCAGAAAAAGGTGCATACTTATGAAACAATTTAGAAAATATAACACGTGAATGGAAACTACATCAGGTTAGAGTGTACCTGAAGGCAGCGGACATATCTTTTTGTATATCCTAAATCGTTTACCAAAGGCACCTCCAAGGCTTTAGCCAGTTGGCGCGCACATGCAACAAACCTAATTGTACAAGATTGCAATATAAGTATATAGCATGAACTTGAAAAGTACAATGAAAATTGATGGAGTTGGTGAAAGGTAATAGTTACTCAAAGAAACAGTCAGCAAGGAAAGTAAGAACAAGTGTTCTGTTATACAGCATGAACTTGAAAAGTACAATGGAAATTGATGGAGTTGGTAAAAGGTAATAGTTACCCAAAGAAACAGTCAGCAAGGAAGGTAAGAACAATGTGGTTTAGGTGCTACCAATCACATTGTTAAACATCACAATTTTTATCAGTGATGAGTTATAACAACAGAAGCAAAAGATACCAAGCAAGTAAGGTCAAGACAGGGCAAGCACCTGCGCGTATAAGGTTATATTTGCTTACGGACATTTTATGCTTCTAGAACAACAAGAACCTTGCACGTAATATCAGTCCGGTTTTCTGGCTAAACTATCAGTCCGGTTTCAGTAATACAGCATAATATCCAGTACCTTGCACGTACTCCAAGTTGTCCACTTACCTAAAATGAGATTTTCTTTTCATGGCAACTGGATGCTTCTCAATCCGTTCTACATTCCAACAATCCTCGTTATTTTCAACTAGAATCCCATTTTCAATGCATTAATAACCAAGTACAATTAAGATCTGGCCCGTTACAGGTTATAAAGATATACGTGAAAAGAGCATGCCTACCAGAACTGGGCATTGACCAGTTGGCTAGCTTGAGCAGGCTGAACCCACCGACCAGCGTTCGAGGTTCAGCCTCCGCTGGTTGATCCGAGTTTTGTTTAGACGTTACCTTTTTAGGGAATAAATGCACAACCAATGAGCATAAGTAAAGTAATGGCCATGCCCTGACAGCATAAGCCCTTCGGTGAGTTGGTTGGTGCATGATGTTGCATTTGATGTAATGAGTTCAAAACTCAACATGCCCATTTTATTATTAAGAAGGGTGGTGCTTATGAAATTAAAGTAAGCATGTGCTTGCAATTCCAGCACCTTCTGGAATGGTGCCTGAACTGAATTTGTCACTTAACGGAACGTCACCATATCTAATCTATATATAGGGCTGAAGATGAGCCTAAGCTTGAATAAGATGCATGTATTACCCTAAGAGCTTAACTTTTAAGAGGGTTGGTCGGTGTATGAAACTTAACTATAACCGATGGCCCAAAGGATGGCAAAACCTTCGAAGCTCAATGCCACGGGTATTCATGGGCCAAACGACAGACTATTCAGTAGGAAACTAAAAGGATAGCAACTAACTAAAAGGAAATATCTAATATAGAAACAAATCATTATAATCTCTAACGTGGTGTTTCTAGTTTTCTACATTATGGCCTGATTTATTGCTGCTGTGTCAGACGGGCCCAGGTGCTTGAGATCTCATCATTGAGCTGTGGTGGTGGTCATGGTTTAAACCCTAGGTAACCCCTCCATCGCATCAAGCAAGAGAATGCACATATTTAGAAAGTTCTTCTTGACAAATGAAAATGAAATCTAATATAGAAAATAATCATAATGATCAATTATTCGGTTCCTAAAATATGCGATTTTTAGCCAGATGAAGCCCGTGTACACATGATAAGGGTTATTGTAGCACCTAGCTATAGCATGTAGGTTTGCAGTAGTCGTCCTACCTTTCAAACACTTGGATCATGGGTGCTCATCACCAAGGCTGAGGTGAATTACTAACTCCTTTACTTTTGCAAAGCTCATCGGGCACACTTAATTAGTCATGTGCCTATTTGGCAAGAGGAACTTATTTGATAACTTCTGTAAGCCCTTAGGACCTGAGACAAGCTTGCACACAGCACTAGCATTTTCATCCTGTTTTGCTTAAAACAGTAAATCCAGTTGGTTTGGTTTGATCATAAAGGGTGATATGCTAAAAACCAAGTCAACTATGGCAGTCAAACAATACTGAGTGGCTCAGAGGAGTTACCACATGTATACATCTTGTGTTATGGGCTAAAAAGTAAAGAGGTACCCCAGTCCGTGCATAGCATGGGTATTAATAGGCCATGAGCAATTAGGAATCACGTATGTTTGGTATACATAAGTTAAGAGGGAAAATTAAGCAATGAAATAAATGGAAGTCCTCTATGCCTCTGAGACACTCTTCAACGTCAGGGACAAGCAATGCTGCGGGATTGTTGAGACCAAGTGCCTTATGCCCGTCTTCAGACCTTAACCCTACCCACATTATCTTGTTTTGGACTAAGGTCCGCATTATCTTGGCTCTCACCTTGCCATGACGGCCAATGCATCTAAAACAACTCACTGTGGAAACTAGCTCCACCGAACAAATGGCTCCTTTACAGGGAAGGCAGATGATAAATTTTAACAGAACAGACACGTATACATGAAGAAAAGAAGTGGACAAACCATTAACGAAAATATAATAGATAGCACCAGCATCAGCTTGGCTAAACCAAATGACAGGAAAATATGTAAATTTGAATTCAGGAAAGAACTTTAGATGAAAAATATTAAGCACATCAGAGCCGATCTCCTTACGAGTTGCAATTATTCTGCATGTCCTGGGTCGTTAAACTCGTTGAACTTTGAGCAGCAGCCTGGTATTTTTGTACAACCGTGCCAAGCTGACTAACCTGAATTAAACACCACAGTGCAAAAATATATCAGATGCTCAATCCAAATTGAATATAAATAACAAGATCCATGACCTGCGAGTAAAACTATGTCTATACGATAAAAAAAATTATACCTGAGGTATTATTGATCTCCGCGGAATCAGTTCCTCATGACGCCTAGCACAAAACTCCCAAGATGCAATCTTCAATTGAAGGAGATGGTACAGGATTGTGCAATATATGTTAGTCCAAAAGGCACCACTTATTCAAGAATAGTATCATAAAAAGAACCGATATAGTGACAGGAAGAAGAACAAAGTACAAAACTGAATAACAATACCTTGAGGTCTGGATTAAAAACTATCCTTAGATGCCCTTCACGTACCACGCGCAATTGATCAAAGACACTTTCCTGGATTGCTTTTGCATAATCCAAAATAATCTGTCCAGATGCATTCTGGGATTCGCGTGGCATATCAATATACAATAGTTCTTCCAATGTACCACTCGCATATTTGATTTGGCATAGCCGCGGTAAGACCTCTACTGTTGTCTCTGTAAAGATAAGAAGAACATAAGATCAAACCAGAAACACGAGCAAGAGAGGAGGATGCACAAAATTAAATGATGCTTACCAAAGCCCCGGCCAGGCTTTCGATTGCATATTTCGCAGTGCCAGACATCCTGGAGGTGCAAACCCATAAGGAAAGTTATAAATGAGAATTTAAAAGGCAAATTATACTCAAAACACCTATGTGTTACTCCAAATTCTCTAAGGCTATGACTAACTAATAGAACTGAATTTACTTGAATAAATCAAATATAGGAGAAAGAAGAGAAAGAGATGCATATTCCTTTTAGCAGTCGGAGCAAGACACCACCTGAGGGAAAACTCCAGTAGTTTGACGACCACTTCCATAGAGAGATACACACCACCTCTTTTTAGCAGTTGGAGCAAAATACTCATTGACAAAGTTTCTCCAGTACTCTATATTGTTATCCTGCATCAAAAGGAATGGGTAAATGCCCTAAGTTGTAAGCACATGCCTTTTGCTTGGAGCACAAAATTACTTGTTTGAAACAAACAAACAGACAAACAAAATCTTTTACCTGTGGTCTGTTCTGTTGATGATACATGTAATGGGTCAATCTTTTTGCACAGGTACCTGGCTCATAAGGAGCCAGCTTTCCTGGGGTTCTCATGTTTAGACTCTGTTGACGAAGTAACTGCTGCTGCTGCTGCTGCTGCTGTTGTTGCTGCTGCTGCTGTTGCTGTTGTAATTGGTTTCTCTGTAAAGGCAGATTCTTTAGAATCTGTTGGTGTTGCTGCTGATGCTGCTGCTGCATATGTAAAAGACGCTGCTGTTGCAAGAGGTTCAGTTGGGCAGCCGCAGCAGCTTGAGGGTTCTGCTTCGTGAGTTGCAACAAGTGGTGATGGTGCTGCTGTTGTTGCTGCTGTTGCTGCAAGAATGCTGATGGGTCCGAACTCGACTGCTCCATCTTGACTGCGCCCAAACCCCTCAACCCTTGCAACTGCTGCGACTCAAATTTTACATTTCCAACATTGCGCATCATCTGGGCTGGGCCATTCTGGTCAGGCAGTCCCATCTGCTGTTCTAATTTGACTCCACCAATGCTGCCACCATTCTCCAACTTCACTGCAGCCTGCGGCTGCGACTGCTGTGACGGCAACTGCTGCTGGTTGTAAGACATCGGCAGTTGATGTTGTTGATGTTGTTGCTCTTGCTGGTGCTGCAAATCCCGCACATCCATCTGCTGCTGCTGCTGCTGCAGGATATCTGAACCTAGGTGATTGCCCAAACTAACCTGCGAGGAGGAGGATGGAAACGACATAGGATCGGATCCTCCAGTGCCAGTAAAATCACCAGCGCCATCAAGCCCCCCTCTCTGCTGAAGGGTATTCATCGGAAGCCCACCGTTTGGCATTTGTCCTGGACTTGGAACAGGGCTCCCGTTTCCAAACGATGACCGGTTGAGCAGGGAGGAGACATTAGAGGTTGCTCCCAGCAAGCCATTTCCACCAAACTGAGACCTTGGGGAGACAAGAGATGAGAACGGGGACTGCGACTGCAGCATGCCGCCACCCCCACCCATTCCCTGTTGGCCACCACTGAGCAGGCTAGAACTTGTCCGGAGAAGTGAGGCACCGCCTCCTGGCTGCCCAGGCCCCATTGGGTTCGGCGGCCCTGACGATACCATCGTTGCAGGCAATGGGAGAGCTACGAACTCAGCAGAAACTACTCCCAAGATCGAGCGCGTCACCACTCACCTCGCCATCCTTTCAGCACGGAACGGCCGCAAGATCCGCCAAAATTGGGCAGGAACAAGGCAGCAAACCCTGAAAACAACCAGAGACTACAGCTTTAGGACACAAGCATTGGATCTAGAGTAGTATCTCCAGCACAAATCTACTGAACACCAACCCACACCACCCAAAATCAACCATAGAAACAACATAAACGAGCATCCAAAGCAAACTTGTACTCCTCAAATCCGCCACGACGAAAGCAAAAAAAACAGCACCAAATCCAACCCCACAAAAAAAAACGAGCAAGGCACCAGACAGGAGCAGAATTAAGCAACCCCCAACTCCCAGACTAGATCGCAGCGTCCCGAGCCCAAACACGCAAAATGAGAAAACAATTAAGGAGCAGCAGCATCAACAGCGACCTCGTCACCGAAAACCCACGGAGCGAAACACGCCGGAACCCGACGCCACTCACCGGCGCAACCAGCCAGCAGAATCCAGTCCGCCCCGAATCCGGCGATCCAGAGCTCGAACCCGCGCCAAATCGCGCGGCGAGGCCCGCAGGGACGCGCCGTCGGCCGTGCACTGCCGCGAGGAGCAGCACTGCCACCACCACCGCCGCCGCCGCGACGGATAAGCTCCGCTCCGGCTAGGGTTTAGGCCGCCCCCGCTGCGCTGCCGCTCGAAGGGAGATAACAGCGGGATAAAAAAATTCAGTTCGTTAAAAAAATCTTTCCCTCTCGTTCCTGTGTGCGAGCGACGGGATTTGGGTCTGTGGACTGGAGGAGGGAGGGAGGAGGCGGAGCGAGGAGGAGAGAGAAAGCCAGACGAAACAGGAGAGAGAGAGAGGAGGCGGAAGTAGAAAATTCTGAGGCTTTGTCCTTGCGGACGTCAAAATTCCCATTCGATTTGATTAAGATCCGGGGGCCGCGACCTCGAGGATTCCATGCTCCGGTCGCCGAAGCGTGGGGCCAGCGCCGCGGGGGCCCCGCGGGGTGGTGAGAGGGTGGGTGGGTGGGTGCGGTGGAGCTGGGTCTGATTAGGATGGTGTTTTCCTTTCTGTTTGGGTGTTTTGTTTTCGGTTTTGGTTGTGTGATGCGCTGCTGAGGTTAAAAGAAGTCAATGGAGCGCGTGCTCCGTGCCCATGCCATGGCCAACGGTGTGGCACTGCCCGGGGATATCCTCCTCTTGTCACGCACGTTGTGATGAAAACGCAGGTGGGGCTTTAGTAAACTCCGAGTCAGACTTTCTTTAGTATACCAGGTCGACTTTTTTCTAGTCTAGTCTAGTAAATAAAAGCATCTAAACAATGCAGATGTTTTTATAAGTAGTTGTCATTCATGTAAGAAAAAAAATATTGATGAGTTAAAAGGGACAGACTGATGGAACACATGAGGTTTATCACACATGAAGTTTAAGTTTTGTTCATCTTTTCGTTGCAGAAAAGATGGATGTCTTATGTGATGTGTTCCTAAAATTAGTGTTAGTTTCTACAATGTTCTAAATGTTAGTTTGAACATTTCGCGCAGAAAAGATACTTTCAGTTGCACCATTTGTCTTTAGGTAACGTGTGTTTCTTAAATTAGCATCAGTTTCTATGACGTTCAAAAATTACGAAAATTTCAAGCGTGGAAAAAGAAGGTTTTAGTTGCACCATGATGTATGTTTCTTAAATTAGTATTAGTTTCTACAACGTTCAAATTAATATGAACATTCCGCATATAGAAAAGGTGCTTTTAGTTGCTCCATTTGTCTTTACATGACGTGCATTCCTTAGATTAGTATTAGTTTTAGCAACGTTCAAAATTAATACAAAAAATCCACGCGCAAAAATGATGCTTTAGTTGCTTCATTTGTCTTGCGTGGCGTGTGTATTTTAAATTATTATTAGTTTTCATGGCATTCAAAACTAATACATACATTTCACATGCAGAAAAAGATGCTTTTAGTTGCTCCATTTGTCTTGCCCTTGCGTTGTCGACATGGGTGCCATCGCCACAGACGCACAGTGAACCTTCCCCAACCCCTCTCTCCCTCATCGTCGTCGGTCGGTGGTCGGAACCGCCACAGCAAAGCCCGCACAACAGTGGACAGTGGCGGGAGCTCCTGTTGTCGCGCGTCTTTCCCCTCCCGTTGGCTCGCGGATATCTCATCACCTTCACCTTGTTCGCTCGGCACCGACACGCCCTGGATCCGCACGGCTACGGTGCTCCCCCGTGCTCATCACCCGGTACTGGTCCCCCTCACGTGCTCGTGCTCTGCTTTGGCCAACGGGGTCCGGCCTTCTTACCCCTGCGGCATTGTTCTCCAGCACCACCGCCTCCTGGGCCTTGCACTAGTGTCATGTGTCCATCGGGCTGATATCCGGATATGGCCATGCTGGTGGTGGCCCTCGCATGCCTAGTGTTCCCTATTCTGCTCCAGCCAACTCCACGTCATGGGGTATATATGGTGGACTAGCCAGGTGGGCTGTGTCTATCTCTCGTAAGCCAACCCAACTTGTGACAACCCATGATGTGAGCAGACGAGCCCCCTTCCCAGATTCGGAGGTGCCACACTACTACGAAATCGAAAATAATTTATCGACCAAAGCATATCATCACTAACGTGCTTGCGGCCCATCAATGGTTTCGAGTCAGTGATGACCAGTCAATGGTGTGGTATAAAAGTGACAGGCCAGCTGATCAATGTTGACTATCTCAAGGGCAAGTATATGAGCAACGGAAAGTAAAACATGCAACTTGCAAGAAAGTAAAGGGATGGGATTGGAGTGTGCAAACGCAATTGGAGACACGGAGATTTTTGGCGTGGTTCCGATAGGTGGTGCTATCGTACATCCATGTTGATGGAGACTTCAACCCATGAAGGGTAACGGTTGCGCGAGTCCACGGAGGGCTCCACCCACGAAGGGTCCACGAAGAAGCAACCTTGTCTATCCCACCATGGCCATCGCCCACGAAGGGCTTGCCTCGCTTGGGTAGATCTTCACGAAGTAGGCGATCTCCTTGCCCTTACAAACTCCTTGGTTCAACTCCACAATCTTGACGGAGGCTCCCAAGTGACACCTAACCAATCTAGGAGACACCACTCTCCAAAAGGTAATAGATGGTGTGTTGATGATGAACTCCTTGCTCTTGTGCTTAAATGATAGTCTCCCCAACACTCAACTCTCTCACACATATTTGGCTATGGTGGAAAGATGATTTGAGTGGAAAGCAACTTGGGGAAGGCTAGAGATCAAGATTCTTGTGGTTGGATTGGAATATCTTGATCTCAACACATGAGTAGGTGGTTCTCTCTCAGAAAATGAGTAGTGAAAGTGTAGGCACATTCTGATGGCTCTCTCTCGAATGGAGAAGGGGGTGGAGGGGTATATATAGCCTCCACACAAAATCTAGTCGTTACACACAATTTCCCAAACTCGGTGGGACCAAATAGTGAAACTCAGTCAGACTGATATGGTTCAGAATGTGAACGTTAGAGTTTTCGGTGGGACCGACAAGGTCAACTCGGTGAGACTGATGTGTTAGGGCTAGGGCAAAACCTCATCTCGGTGAGACCGATTGCGTGAACTCGGTGAGACCGGTTTCAGCAATAAGCAAACAAAGACTTGGTCAAGCAAACTCGGTGGGACCGACTGCACATTTCGGTGAGACCAAAATAACTACAATAGGTAACAGAGAGTTTGCAAGGCCATCTCGGTGAGACCGAGATCCCATCGGTGAGACCAAACTGATTAGGGTTTCTGGCGGTGGCTATGTCAAGTGAGCTCGGTGGCGCCGGATGGATCAAATCAGTGGGGCCGAGTTTGACTTTTAGGTTTAGGACATATTTTGATGAGACCAAAATGACTGCAATAGGTAACAGAGAGTTTGCAAGGCCATCTCGGTGAGACCGAAAAAACTGCAATAGGTAACAGAGAGTTTGCAAGGCCATCTCGGTGAGACCGAGATCCCATCGGTGAGACCAAACTGATTAGGGTTTCTGGCAGTGGCTATGTCAAGTGAACTCGGTGGCGCCGGATGGATCAAATCAGTGGGGCCGAGTTTGACTTTTAGGTTTAGGACATATGTGGAAATGAGAAAGTGGTTGAGGGCTTTGGAGCATATCACTAAGCATTTTGAGCAAGCAAGCCATTAAGCAACACCTCATCCCCTTTTAATAGTATTGGCTTTTCCTATGGACTCAATGTGATCTTGGATCACTAAAATGAAAATGTAGAGTCTTGAGCTTTTGTCAATATGTGTCCTTAGCATTTTGAAGGGGTTCCACATCCTCTTGTCATGCCACTCCAATGTTGAACTTATCTGAAATATACTAGGTTGAAGTATTAGTCCAACAAGAAATATGCTGACATTAATTACAAAAATCACCCAGAGAGCACTTGTGCTTTCAATGTCCCCCTTTTTGGTAATTGGTGACAACATACATCTACCTCGTGGTCTTGAGCTAACTTTGGAAGAGATGAACCTGAGAAAACAAGGTTAGATAACAAAGGATCATCTACTAAACAGAGCAAGAACGAGAAACCACAAGAGTACCAAGACTGGGATGGCATGTAGTGAGTGAGTACTTAGTACTCTAGATGGATATTGACATGTCCCCAAGGATAAAGATATGCAATGAATTCCAAAGATTTTCTTCCATTAGATGTCTTTATCCCCCTGAATTTGACATTGGATAATGGGAGAAGATAGGGTAATAGAAAATCAGAGAAAATGAAAAACAAATGAACATTAGAGCAAAAAGCACAGAGAAATATCTTCTACTAACATGTCTTTCCCCTCTTAAAGACATGTGGCTTCTCTCCTCTTTGTTTACCAAGCATATGGGAGGATTAAGAAGTGTTTCTCTCCCATAGGGTCTCTCTCCCTTTGATGTGATTAAGCTTTGATGTGATCTCTCTCTCCCCCTTTGACATCAATTTCCAAGAAGGGATCTTCTGGAGTAT